TAAATTACCATTCAAGAGGTGCACCACTGGAATCGTGTATTGACCCTGGATGGACTTTCAGATGGCTATCAGGTCTACCTTGTCCGGTAACGCGATTGGTGTGCGAATCGAGCGGTAACGCCAACTCTACGTGGAAGGGTTAGCGCTGAGACTGGTTGGCCGCCAGATGAACTGTGAGGAAAGGCCGAAAGAATGGCCGATAACTGGGAACATGGCGAACTCCAATCCTTTTATCTGAAGTCATCGAAATCCAAATCCTCCTCATCCATGACAACTTTCGTTTTCGATGCTTTCCGTCCAATACCAGGAGAAGTGTCAAAGAACACTTCAGAAGCTGGCGGCTGCAAATACCTACTTTTGCCAGTAAACAAGATTTCCACTCACTGTCGAAAAAAAAAAACAAAAAAATAGAAACAATGAAGTGTTGATGCTCCTATTTATATTATAACAAGGCTAACAAGACTATCATTCCCTGGAATCATATAGCCCCGTTTGGTGCGGATGCAGGAGCGTGCCTGGAATCTGGGTATGGCGCGGCGTCAGTCCATTTTCCACCAGGTGCTATTGCTTGCCCGTTGCAACAATTTTTGGAGAATGTGCTATCGCCTTGTCAAACCTAGGCCCTTAACACGTCCCAGTACTCGAACGAATGTGTTCCTGGCGGTGAATAGTGAACATTCGAAATACTCTAGTTTAAGGGAAAACGCCAGAACGCGAGGCTGCGCTGGAGAGAGAGAGAGAGAGAGAGAGAGAGGGGAGAGGAGAGAGAGAAGAGTAGAGAAGAGAGATCGGCGTTTTGGGTTTCGAATCTGGGTTCGATCTAACGTTTCAGCGAGAAACGGCTTTTGGGCAGAGACTGCGAAACCAAGAAATAAGATGTGGGTGCCTATCAGCTCCGCGTCGCGTTTCGCATCCACAAGAAAGAATGAGGATTTCTCGAAAGGCGGATTCTTCCCGAATCAGCTACCTGGACGCCGATCAGTACCTCAGTGGTTTTGCCTTTTTTCGGCAGTCACTCCTCCCACCCCCCACGCCGCGCAATTTCCTAGAAGCGGCCGGTCGATATGCCAGCACTCACTTCCTGTATTTTGCCCTTCAAGCCGGATTATGGAAACATGCGCTTCAAATACCCCAACCCCCGCCCCCCCTTTCACCAGCCCTTCACCTTGTCTCTCTCCTGCGGTCCCAAACATCCACCAAACAGAGTATGTAGAGAACGTCCAAACGGCGAAAGTCAGCAATAAAAAATTTCCATAAAACAAATAACCAACCCTGCCCCAGTCACCGAATACGGACCTCACAATACAATAAACAAATTAATGTTGCACTGCTCTAGAACAACTGCGACGATTGGCGGCGAAGTTGAAAAATTGGGCTCTGACTTGTTGCGATGCTACGAGAGGCGTGGAAAGCGGTATCGCATGCGCGGCACTCGCACCAGTAGTCAAATCATTTAGCTCGAAAATGCGCCTGGGCTAAAGTCCGTAAGCAAGGCCGTAAACCTTACTCAAATATGAGGCCTCCATATTCTAGATTCTCGAAAGTTTTTCATGGTACCCCAGAAAACGTACTTACCTGTTCATCCACTTCCAGATCGCGCATCGCATCGGCGATTTGGCCGCTGATATCGCTGCCGCTAGCATTTACTGCATCACCCATCGCCATCGACACTTCACTAGCCCACGAGCCACACTCGATACGTGTTGCTTCACTATTCGGACAAGTACTGCCAGCACCTACAATAACAAATAGTGAAGACCGGGAGCAAATATTAGGGTCTCACCATCCTTTCTGGGGAAAATCATCCGAAGAAGACCTGCTCGCATCAGTGAGATCTAGCCTATAATGATAATTACCACTGAACCAGACACTTACCTCCAATTACTACAGGAATCGATTTTATGGACGACAAAGAGTGCCTCGATTCGGAAGGTGTCATCTGAAAGAGTTTCTATGAAAATGCGCACGTTTGTCACTTTGTTGGAAATAGTTAAACAAACCAGTTCGGTGGTGTTTTCCTCACGGTACTCGAAGAACTTGAACTGTGGACCGCATCGCATAACCGTGCTTTGGCCGCGATGTGTCCAGATATCGTGCAGACCTGCAAAAGGTTAGGATTAAGGAACCTTTGGAAACACCGGAAACATTATCCATGGCCATCTGCGAGGTAACCAGTGACTCACTGAGCTTTTTTTTAACGTATGTGGCACATTAAAGTAAAAATTTCTAGTTAGACGCATAAGTTTTTGGGACAGACCTGAGTACAAATTTGGGCAAGGGTTCCAACGTACCTTTAGAAATAAACTTCAAACGAAGGAAAAAAGTTTTTTGGCGTGTTCAAAAAATTTTTCTCGAAAAAATTCTCGATTATTGTATTTGCTTTATATATGCGCTTGTTTATGTATTTTTATATAATTATTAATTCTATATAAATATTTGGCATAAGTCAAGACAGAACGCCCAGCCGATCCGCTTATTGACTAAAGTTTAGACTGCAAGCCAACGAAAACATTTTCGCTGATTTTTGCAGTTTCATTCGCTTCTAAATAAATAAAATCTCAACCTTTTCTTACCTCACCAGCAATGGCGCTACCTTGGATGTTTCACGAGATGTTTCATCTGCTCAAAATTTCCTACTAGACGGATGAAGAAGTGAGGGAGGGGAAGGAGAAGGGGCCAGGGCACATCGTTGTTGGGAATTCCCATGAAGGGGGGGTCGTATATGGGCTCGGAAAAATTTATTTTGATAGTCGTTTTTTCTTGCTTCACGGACGTTGTAAAGAGGAGAGGGGCCGTATCTGTTCAATGCTGGTAGTGAGCGGGGTCGTATATTACCCACCCTTCTGACCTGAAAGGTGGCTGACTTTCTGACTTTTCGCGATTCTTCCTGCTTCATGTGTACTATACCCCCCCCCCTCCCGCGCTCGACAGCAAATTTTCGGAGAAACTAGGAAAATTTTCGGGAAATTCCTTAAAAACTGGTAAGAGTCGGGGAAAATCTAAGAAAATGGTAGAGAGGAGGGGTCGTATCTTCCTCGCGGCTTTTCCCTTTTTACATGTGTTATTTATTCCCCCGCTCGGCAGCTCAGTGAGGAGGGAATCAGGAGGATTGTACCACCTCCTAAAAAAGGGGGGAGGTCGCACGGACTTGGCCAAAATCCCCAACTAATGATGTGACTGGGAGGGGGTCGTCGTATACTAAAGATTTCATCATCGAAATGGAATTTTTAGGTTCGGGCTTATTGACTAGCCTCCACCACTGTCGTACGATTGACTAGCCTCCACCACTGTCGTACGTCTGCGAAACATCAGGGATAGTTCCTGCGCAAGAAAAAAATCCAGATAATGATCAGTACGACCTCAAGGGCTGGAAAAAAGCGCACTGCAGACGTTCCAGTCAAACAAAAACTCATGATGAACATGCACGATAGCGCAGGAGTGTAATCCCAATGGCTATGAAACTTTAATTCTGCATTAAAACAAACTGGCTTAAAACAAGTTTTTGAATGTTTGAGTGCTAATTGTGATTGGAGTAGCCCTCATAGTTTTCATAATCAAACAGTTTCCACATAACTGCCTGCCTCTGGGTAAGGGCCTAGACGAGAGTTACCTCTGGCAATCGTGTTATTCTCTTTGTTTTCCATGTCCTCAGTGAAGGTAACCCCTCAGTCCTTAAACCTGAAATTTGATAGAACTGGAAAAAATGTGCCGGGGCAAGGGTTTCGCAGCCTGGGCGCTGAAGCTATCCGTTACTACGTGTTACTATGAGAACAGGGATAGTGTTTGGTCCTCCTCTCGCGTTCAGTTCATAGAGCAGATAGTAATGGTAATACATAGCCGACGTGGCAGAAGTACTATAATAAAAAGGCTTTTCAGTATCCATTCGGTGTTCTGTTCTTGACTAATTCTTCTAGTGGTACTTGTCTACCATTACTATAAACTCTAAACAATAATTTAAGCTGTGCGCGATTCTTATACAATCGGCTTTTGGAATCAAGGCATACCTTGGGGATATTTTCCTCCCAATGCGAACCCTCTCCTTGGAACTCTCTCCCCTGGTTGCCGCTCTTCCCATCCCCCATCCTACCTGCCATCTTCCTAAATTATCGACTACTTTCTACCACCTTTCCGTGAAAATTTCCCACATTTTTTTCTTTCAAAAGAACTGGTGTCGACCGGGATGGGGGGGGGAGGAGGTGCAGCGCCAATGTAACGGGAAAGAAAAGCTAATGATGCAAAACATTTTTCCTCCACTGACCAAATATGACCTCTTTGCTGGTGGCTCCAAACGTACGATGTGTCCTGTGCGGAATACTCCACTGCGGAAGAGTCAGCTTTTTACTCAACCAACACCCACGACTGGACAAGTTTCACTCCTGCATTGTTATTTGCTTTCATAATATCGAGCTAATGTCCAAACTCATATGGTCGATATCGTCGCAACCAGTCAGGGCGGTGTCGCATAGGCGGGGTGAGCCAGCACTGACTACCTTGCCCTAGCAATGGTGGTCGACTGGTGATCGATTCGAGAAGAAAACAACCAGCGGTAAAAAGGCCTCGAGTGAGCTCATTCTACCCCTCGTGACACCTCTGCGAGATAGCTGCGACGATATAAAGTGTATGTGGGAAATATTGTGAATTTAGAAAGCGACACTGCGTCACCAGAGTACATAATCGGATGTATGAACAGTGGTAACCGGTAAGGAAACTCGGAACAGCATCGCATGGCGGCGTTCGCGGCGGCTTGTACGATGGACCAGATACGGATGTCCGGTGAAGTATCATGTTGTGCTTATGGATTACTTTAGATGCGGTTCCACGTTGGCTGTAGAACTTACCAGAAAACAGACTCATATAAAAAGTGATAAAAATGATCAAAACAAACGAGACAGAAACATTCACTTACCTCAACTTGCGGTATCCAGGTGTCAGTCTCTCGAGACACCCGAGAACGAGTCTTGTCAGGCAGGAGCCATGTCAGTAGTGGACTACCTTGCTGCAGTGGTGGTGGCATGTCTGGATTGTTCTTCGTCCTAATAAAGAAAATGGATCATTTACAAGGAATACATTGTATAAACAAAGTTTCTCTCTTCACTAGGGACTACCCTGACTTAATCATTTTTTGAAGGCTGAAGTTCTTCAAGGCAATACCTTCACTTGGGCTAACACCAAAGTCGCTGTTTCTGCTTACGCTTTACCCTCCACCCCTCCCCCCCCCCTCCTGATGACTGTCGCTCGGTTTTCATGGAACACAGAGACTGCCATAAAAACTACATTAACTACTAATCTTCACTTTGTTCGAACGCTTACAACTGATCGACAGTACGCGGTTCACTCCCACAACTGAAGTGCACATTGAAGCGATTGAGTGGGCGTAGCTGCGTATTCTACTTGGACATGGCGCTGTTCGTGGGATATTCCCATCTGATACAAGCTCCTTGCTTTAATATACTGGACAAAATCATTAGCAACCATGCAGCTGTTCTGAAACTGCAATATTCCTCCATAGGCGCAGGTGTCGAACATACCAAGAAAAAGGAAACCACCTCTCCATGCTGTTGAGCTTTGTTCACGAAAAAGCACTACTTTTAAGTCCCTTTTTTGAGAGGAAAGACACTAAGCTGTGAAAATTCTCGGAAATCAATAACTTATGCACCCTATACAAGCGGATTCCTCCCCTTCGACGTATTAGAAGGAGGGCCATACCAGGGAGGAAGGTACAGTGATTATGAGTCTCCGCCCGTCTGATTACCGTGGAATGGGCCCTGAACAATTTGCACTTTTCAAAATCTACGAGGGGGAGTATACATGGGAGGAATACCTAAACACATCTCGTAAAGCTGCTCAGGAGACAATAAAATGAATGGGCATCTTTAATTGAAACACTGTGCCCTTCGCTAGTTCCAAGCATCATTTCTTGTCCAGACATTTAGACTTATTTACGCGCGGCAGCTTGAAAACAAGTAGCATGAAGGATAGCGTGCGTGGGGCTAATTTATCCCTCGTCATTCGTCTTCCAGTGAAAGTTGTGGACATCTTATCGACAT